AYTGCTTTCTGATAGTGGCAATGAGGACCAAACCCAGGGCTTCATAAATTAGAGGCAAGTACTCCATACCTCCAGTCCTCTCCATGATTTCTTCTATGATTCTTTCCTCATTTAAAAAACAGTGTTGTTCAATCTCTGGGTTAAAATAGTTTCTGTTTAGACCTTAATTGACTTCTAATTCCATTTTACAAAGATATAAAAGATAACAAACTATTGTGAATTTTTTTTTTTTGTATACTAAGAAGCTCCTTTGTGTCTTCAAATATGGTCTATTTTAGAGAATATTCCATGTGCTGTTGAGAAGAAAGTGAGTTTAATTTTTAATGAATAGAGTATTCTATAGATGCCTGTTAAGTACATTTTAATCCCTATTTCTCAACCCAGACAAAACTCAACTCAAAATGGATCAAGGACCTAGGCATTGGACCAGAGACCCTGTATCCACTAGAAGAAAATGTAGGCCTAAATCTCTATTATACCAGCTTTAGGAACCAACTTCTCCAACAAKATTCCTTAAGTGGAAGAATTTAGATCAAGAACCAATAAGTGGGATGGTATAAAGCTAAAAATCTTTCTCAAAGCAAACAATCGAGAGTGTAAAAAGAGACCCTACAGAATGGAAAAAAAAATCACATTCACAATTTATCCTCCTAAGTTTTTGTCAAGACCTTGTAAGCCCCAACAACATTTCTTAATCCAATCAACTGCCAAATATTCTTTTTTTTTTTTGCCAACAAATGCCCAAGGATACAGATATTTTCATAGAATCAACTCCAAGGAAGGCAATGACCCATGTAAAGACTTCCCCAGGAAGTCAGCAAATTATTTAGAAATGAGAGAATAATTCTTAAGGAGCTCCAAAGCTGATCTGCACACCCTAATGGTTGCACATTTTCTGATTTTCATAGCTGCTATTACCAGATTTTTGTTTTTTGACACTTTGTATAATTATATACTATATATATTGAAGATGGTGAATGAGAGTAGGTTATGTTACCACCCCCATATATTGCTATTTTTAACAATGTTCAGCAATTTATTTTGTTTTTTTTTTAATTTATATGTGATGGATTATTGCTAAGCTTTCATTGAACACAGAGTTTTATAAAAATTGATTTTTAAAGTACTTATCCATGTTTTTGTAGTTTTTATAGAGATGGATTCTCAAGTCCTCATTCCACTGTTGCATGTAAGTTCCTCATGTTTCTATTTTTCTTTGTCAAAAACGAGAGTTTTTTATAAATCCTCAGTTAATTAAGATCTTTCATGATTGTACAAATCCACATATATCCATTAAAAAGTCAGTATGACAACTCAAGTAATTACTAGTGGAAATATTGCAATATTTATATTATTAGGAAATATGATTTCCTATATGACTACCTGGTGATGAAGTTTTAAAAGGACCAAGTTGTGTGAGCCAGTTTCCACTGAGTGCATCCCTTTCTATGCAGAGGCTACTGACTGTCTCTCTGGAGTACTAATTCACTAGTGAATACAAACCACCCTTGACTACGCCACAGCCTCTAGGCATTTTGTTATGCTCTTAAATACTTAAGGGATAATTAACAAAACCTTTTGCATCTCCTAAGGGGACTCTCAAAATTTGAAACAAAATATCTATAAATTGTTCTCACTATTTCATGTAAGAAACACATGGGGCAGTCAAGACAGAGAATTCATTACAGGTAAAAAAAAAAGAATGTTTCATGTGTAAGTCTATAATACAGGTAGTCACAATATATCAGTGAAATTTGCAAAGTTTCATGGAAAAAAATGGGGCTATTTTGACTTAGTGCTGTGCTTTTTACCTCTCATATCCAAAGAGAAATAAGAATCTTCTCTATTTCACTTCATTTATTTTTTAAATATTTACTTTTTTTTTAAATTGGAGATTTAACACAGAGATTTAACACTGAGATACCTCCCCACCCTTTTTTTGTTTTCTATTTTGAAGAGTTGTACTAAGTTGCGTAGGGCCTTGCTGAGTTGCTGAGGCTACCCTCAAAATTTTGATACTCCAGTCTCAGCTTCCCAACCACTRGGATTACAGGTGTGTGCCACCATGCCCAGCAATTTTACATGCTTTCATAGGTATGCATATTCATATTAACCATCCTGACATTATGTGCAAAATACTTGTTTTGTATAAATAATTTTATCTCCAATTGAGGTCAAAACTAAGAGCAAATAAGACACAAGGAAGATAAAAATATTTTAAAAGCCATAATAAAGTAACTGAAGGTAATTATTGATGTCTTTCCAAATAGAGTTAGTGTCTCTAGGTTCTTGTGGTGGTATAAAAATAATTTGATACTCAATAATTATTTCTATAAAAATGTAGATACAATTTCTCATTTACTGATGTGAAAAACAGAAGTTTCTATTTCACAGTAGAAGGTGAAATTATTATTTGAAAATTAAGAGAATATGGAAAATCCAGATTTATGGTGAAATAGAATGTCCAGATTGTGCTTGGCAGTCTGTTGAAATGTGAGAAGAGGAGGGTATGATTGTTTTAAAAAAGAGGACATAGTTTTCAAAAACTAAAGTTGCTACTCAACCTGAACTGTAAAGAACAAAAACACTATCTGGTTCTTGCCAGAAACCCCAGAGCTGCTGAATGGAAGCCCATTTATATTTTCTGAACTAACAAGAAAACAAATAACTACAAGTGTGATTTTTGGTGTTAGTAACTGCAAAGAAAAACAAAGCAAATGGCCAAAATGCAAGATTTGTATTTCTTCCTATTGCATTTAACTGAAGATATTTTCTAGTAGCACCACCTGCTGATATGTAGTTCCATATTTATGATGTAAGAAAAATGTACCCATAGGGAAAGTGTGGGAAAACAAGAGAGTAGAATTTTTGAGCAATATKTTAAATGATTTACGTGCAAATTCTGGTAATCACCTTTATAATTAATGTAAAAATTACATATTTTATTTTGGTTGTAGCTCACAGATCTCTCACTACAATTTTCTTTGTAAACAGGATCATCTTTCTCTTTTTAAAGATGCAGTTAAAGATTATTAAATCATTAACTCTCTTTTGTTAACATTCATTCCAACTAATTTTATATGTATATACATTATAAAATTATGAATTATATATACATATATRTTTAATTTGTAGAATATTTCAACATATATCTATTCAATTATATACATGTTTATCTCCATTATGTAGTAGAATATAATTTAAAGAAGCTTTTGTAGATTAAATATATAAAAGGACTTCAAATCACATCTGAATCTTRTCTAAAATATGGAGTATTTTATTTTGTTCCATTAGTATTGTATTACATAGTGGTATACAAATTTTTATTTAAATCTTTAATCAATATAATTAAGGAATTTTCATGATGTTCCTTAATATAAAACCAATGGGACTTCCTTCTACTGCCATAGGACTTTACCTGATAAAATACATTCGAATTTTGCATGCATGAAAATTTTATTCCTAAATTACAATGAAATGTTCATTTGAGAAAGATTAATATTTCAAGTAAATATATGTCAAAATAATTTATATTAAATGTTATAAAAATAGTTATGAAAATGTAAAATAATCAATTAAAATCACCTTGTTTGCTCAAGTTCATCATGAAACAGGTGAGAAGGTAAGGAGAATACTGAGAGAAGTTATATAAATTACATCCCAGAKGACCCATTCCTCTCCTGTGCATCCAGAAGCATTTATACATACTTTATACATAAATATGTGGGTTAAGGCACTGTCACAATTTTTAAAAATGAAACAAAGCAACACTATGTACCTGACACTTGGAGACAATTCTCTAAAGCATTTAGTYTTCACTCATCCTTTTCAACAAAACTTGGCAAGGACATGTTGGTTTTTGATATGAGAATAATTCTATGTAACATATTCTAAAGAAACCCTTATAATATACTATACATTAAGACACAGTATAGATAATCTCAGTACCTCAGAGGCTGAGGCAGGAGGATTACAAGTTGAAAACCAGCCTCAGCAAATGGAGGGGCAAAGCAACTCAGTGAGATCTGTATTTAAATATAATACAAAATAGGGTTGGAGATGTGGCTCAATGGTCAAGTGCCCCTGCTTCCAATCCCCAGTAACCACCAGGCCCCCTCTGGAAAAAAAAGATATTTAGAGTGTAGAATATATCTTCATAAGTACATTTCCTGATATTTTTCCATTTGTGTGCAATTACTACTATGATATGTTCCAGTGTTTTTATTCAGACAAGTGTTCAATATCTGTCCACTGTATTGAAGTTGTTTATAGTTAAAAACCTCTAGAGAAAACAGTTTTTGAAGGACTTTTTTWAATTCTGTGGTCTTATAAATTTTTGAATTTTTAGTTAGAAAGAATTTGATACTCCTGGGATAATCTAATTTTATTTATAAGTTATAAATTTGCAATTTATAATTCAATGCAATTTATAAAAATGACAAGGTGGTTACCATTATATGGAAAACTCTAAGGAGAATTACAGTAATTATCCATGTATTGGATACCCAGTGTTTTAACTTAAAAATTTTGGCTTTACATATCCACAGTTTTATATCTGTATATCTAACAATTTATCTGCTCTCTAACAACTTATGTATCTTCTCAGGATTTCTTGACCTTAGTAATATTGATAATCTGTGCTGGATTTAATTAAGAATGCACATTGGATATTGTATGATGTTTAATGACTTAAATGACCTATAATTGCTAGTTGGTAAGAGCAGCTCATCTGCAGGTGGTGACAAAGAAAATATATTTAGACAGTGGAAAATTCTATTTGGTAAGTGAATAGTTTACTTTTACCTATTTCTACCTCTAAGTCTACATATCAATATTTTTGTGAGAAATAGGTTTCTTTCCAAATATTATATAAGTTGTAATGTCTGGATGTACTATGTTTGTACTAACTTTGTACTAAAATGAATCTCCCAGCCATAAAACATGATAGCCTTTGACCGTGATAATGTCTCTATGCAGAAAAGATTTTCTGGTGAATCTGGATGGAGAAACGCAATCTCTCAGTGGTGCATGAGTTCATCCTGATGGGCATCACATCGCCCCCTGAGCTGCAGGCTCCATTATTTGGGCTGTTCCTTATCATCTATCTGGTCTCAGTGCTGGGCAACTTGGGCATGAYCATCCTCACCAAGGTGGACCACAGCTTGCAAACACCCATGTACTTTTTCCTGAGGCACCTGGCTATTACAGATCTTGGATATTCTACAGCTGTGGGCCCCAAAATGCTAGTAAATTTTCTTGTGGATCAAAATACAATCTCCTATTACTTTTGTGCCACACAGCTAGCTTTCTTTCTTCTGTTTATTGTTAGTGAACTATTTATTCTGTCTGCAATGTCTTATGATCGYTATGTGGCCATCTGTAATCCTCTCCTCTACACTGTCATTATGTCACAGAGGATATGTTATATACTGGTGGCAATCCCATATCTCTACTGCACATTTGTATCKCTTCTAGTCACTATAAAGATTTTTATTTTACCCTTCTGTGGCTACAATGTCATCAGTCATTTCTTCTGTGACAGCCTCCCCTTGTTATCTTTGCTCTGCTCAAACACCCATGAAATTGAATTGATAATTTTAATCTTAGCAGCTTTTGATTTKATTTCCTCTCTTCTGATTGTCCTTGTGTCCTACCTGCTCATCCTCCTAGCCATTCTCAGGATGAAGTCTGCTGAGGGCAGGCGCAAGGCTTTCTCCACCTGTGGATCTCATCTGACAGTGGTCATAGTGTTCTATGGGACTTTGATATTTATGTATGTCCAGCCTAAATCCACTCACTCCTTTGACACTGATAAAGTGGCTTCCATATTTTACACTCTRGTTATCCCCATGTTGAATCCTTTGATCTACAGCTTGAGAAACAAAGATGTAAAATATGCTCTACAGAGGACCTGGAATAACTTGTGCAATTTTTTTTCTTAAAGGCTTCATACAAGATGATTCCTATGAATAGGGTTATGGGCATGCATCTTGGCTCTGTATACACTGAGAAGAAATAAAAAGCAAAACTTGGGTTTAATATGTGTTTATACATTGTATTATACATGTCAGTTTCTTTTCATTCCTACACATAGATTAATGAAGAACCATTGAAGATATATTCTTTCTTTGAGAAGGACAAATTAAGCATACTCATAATTAGTCAATTTTATAGAACAGAAGATAAGCTACGAAGATATAGTTCAAATATAGGTAGTGCAGGAAGTGGAAATGCTGAGAGAGTTACAGAAGGAAATGTGTTTTAATCACCTTTGGAATAAAACTTGCAGTGCCTGTCTCTTACATGTCTTGTTTGTGTGCAAACAGTCTCTTTCATTCTGTTTCAGCTGTCATAGTGTTCCCTGTTGTATTTTGCAATTGTCTTCAATACTGATCATTTATATAGTATATTATGATTTGATCTTTGATTAATAGACAGAAATAATAACTCTTACAGGTATTGGTATCCTACTCATTGGTCACTATGCCTCTACTTCCTCATATGAGTCTCCTAACTAGAACTCAGCAGTCCGTGAATTCTGACTGGCTCTTATTTTTTCCTCAATCATCTCGTTTTCTTGTCACTTGTGAACATGTCATTTAAGATACATTTGTAGAGTACCCAGATGTGCTCAACTTTGTACTTTTAATCCACTTATTGACCTAACTTGATAACTGACCATTGGGTTTTATAGATCGTTATTTTTTATTTAATCTAAAAAGAAGCAATTGCCAATATTAAAAATTTTTGTTCCAGTAGTTTTCACATCTTTTGAGTTAGGGGACCAAAATAATTAATTTTGATGCTTTTGTTTTTGAGTCTGTGGACATTTCTTTATTTTGGTMAATATTGAAAATGTATCATATACTCAATGATTTTCATTTCGTGGATATATTAATTGGTTTTTCAACTTGTGGTTGGTAAAAGAAAATAATAACACATAACAGAATATTAAATTTATATTTCAGTTTTTATAAGTGACTATTGCTGGTGGTAAACCTTCTTTATTAAAAGTGAAATGTGACATGTAGACAAGAATATAATTATCTTGTCATTTGGACATAGCTTTTCCACATCACTCTACATATTTTCTCATGGATATATAGTTACTCTAAATTTTCAAAATAATCCTGATATTTTTCTTATTTCTTGTGGAATTATAATAAAAACACTATGTGTATCTAATAAAAATTGACTGAATATGTTTCATTGAAATAAATTTTAAGGTGCTTAGTGCATTATCACAGGAGGCTAAATATTGTCATGTGGTTAATGTAGTTAAAACAAGTATTTAAGGTGGTCCTACAAACTATCAGTTAGCAATATCATTGATTACTCTCTGACACGTGTTATTCAAGCAGGTCTCAGTTAATTTGTTCATCTCAACAGTTCTGTTGAGTTTACTTCTACTAACTTGCAATCATCAGATGATGGTCTTAGGGTAAGTAACTTGACAGAGATCTCCAAGGTATTAGGCATTAGAACCAAACTTTTAAACCAAGTAATCTATCTCCAGATTACATGTTCCCAAATTACATGTCTTTTAATGTCATTTTTCTGTTTCAATAATGTCACTCTGAGATGACAGAGAGTAAAACCTCACATTAGCATATTTTAAATTAGAAGAAGCCAAAAGGCATAAAATTAAATTATAAAATGAATAAGCTCTGGAGACATAATGTACATCATGGTGACCAAATTTTAAACCTTGTATTGTTGATCTGAAACTTGATGAAACAACCAATTTAAAGTGCTCTCAACACAAACACACATACAAACACAGAGTATCTATGGGTGGTGAAACATAATTAATTAAATTGTAGTCAGTACACAGTGTGTAATATAAAAGATCATCAGTACAAAGTTGTGGTGAGCCATTCTAATGGACCGTGGCCGCCATTAGAAGATGGCGCCGGTTTCCACTGTGGCCTGTGATAAACAACTCCTGATATGGAGAGTTGGCACGCAATCCCTTACCACCCTATGAGAAAGGTCCACGTGGCAGCTTGGGATTGGGATGCGGGGAGCTTTATTAGGCTGTGCTTGGGTGTGGGCGGGAGAAGATGATACATGACTCAAGGCCTGAATAAACTGCTGAAAGAAGAATCCTGTGTCGTGTTTTCCCTTGCTGGCGAGGGGTCGCGACACAAAGTCATCAGTATATATATATATATATATATATATATATATATATATATCCTGAAAATATACAATTTTAACAAAATAAAGAGCAGTGAATTATGTTAAATCATAATTTAACATACAGAAAATGAATTCAGAAAAGTCAAAAAAGAAATTGACTCAGAAATATAAGTCAATTAATCCATTTTGGATGAGAGTATTTGCTCAAATATAAAGTCATCATATTGTGGATAAAGCATGTAACTTTGAGAAAATCTGCAATAAATTATAGAGCAGCAATATATTAGCAGAAATTAACATTAAGCAGTCAGAATCATACTAAATAGTAATTTATAATATTATATAACATTATATGATATTATAAATTATTATTTATATTATATTATATTATAAATTATATAACATATAATTTATAATAATAATAATTTTTAAAAATAGGTTTATTTGATTGCTGTTCAATGAAGTTAATCACATTTGGCAAAGAAAGATTGAGGAGCAGAATTTTATTATTTAAATATCTGTAGCTCACAGATTGGTGGTGGAATTCTATCAGGGGAAAAAACAAGAGATAAAAAAATTCTTCCCCCAAAAGGGAGATTAGTTTTGAGAGGAAAAGCTACTCACCATCAACGTTTCCTTTCTTGGATGAAGGATGAATTTTCTTTTATGAGCTTCAGATGATTGAGACAAACACACTGACTCTTGATATAGTTAAGCTGCTGAATCAATGAAGAGCAAAGCCATCAGGGTTGTATATTGGAACCTGTGTTTTTGKTTTTTTTTCAAAGTAAATTATCTTCATTGATCCAGTATTTCTTGAGCAATCTAGTAAATCCACACACTAAAATTATTCTAAATGAACAAATGAGGAAAGGAAGAATCCCACATCAAATTATGAAGGTTGAGATTTATGTTATTATTCTAGACTGGACAATTCTATTTTCCTGAAAACATACAGTAGTATATTTGGTATGTATTGTCATGATTAATGTAATTATCTCAATTTTGTCTGCCACAGTGGTTAAAAAGGAAAAAAAAAGGAGAGTATAATTCTGAAATTTAAGTATCAACCTCAAGAAAATAAACTTCAGAAATTTACACAATGAAGTTGGTCATTGAAGAAGTTTCTAAAAAAATATTAATTGAGGAATTTGAGTATGAACGTTAAATATTATTATGTCTAGAACAAGAAATCTATAATTTTAAAAATATTTCAGAATCCATAACAACCTTTATATTCCCATGAAATTGAATCTTCACATATTATTTAATTGAGAAAAAGTACTGCCTTAAAAGAGAGGATTGGGGAAAATGATAACTTAGTAAATCCCTGGATTTCCTGGTGAGAATGTAAACTAGTAGAGAACTGAACAGGAGTGCTATGAAATTTCAACAGACAGTAAAGTTTTACTAGATTAACAGGAAAAAGGAAACTATGGCCCTTGCTGGTAAATGGATGAAATTGGAGTGCATCATGCTAAGTGAAATAAGCCAGACTCAGAAAGTCAAAAGTTGAATGTTTTCTCTTATGTGAAGAAAGTATACAAAAATTAGGATGACTTTTCCCTTCTGAAAGAGAGCAGCCCATGAAAAATATGAAGAAGATGAGTGGAGTAGAGGAAGGGGATTGAAGGAGGAGGAAGGATGAATGGGAAAAGGAGGAACTGTACAATAAAGTTTACTCAACTTTGCTATGTATATATAGCAATGTGCCAGAGAGACTTCCACCTTTACGTGTATTTATAAAACACCAACTTAAAAACTGATAAGTAGAAGGATGACAAGTAGAACAGAGCAAGGGGAGCAGGGGAAGGGAAGAGGGAAGGGAAAAAGGACGCACTGGGGACAGAAATGGAGCAAGTTATATTCCRTGCATGTATGACTGTGTCTCAATGAACCCCCATTATATTTATGTATAATGCATCAATAAAAACATTAAAAAAAGAAATGGGAGGTGTTATTTTCTAATTTCCAGTATATGTGAGACCATATCCAGAAACAGAGGGGCACCCTTCAGCAGGACATGTGGTGTTCTTACACTCCCCACTGGGTCACATTATTGCAGAAGCTCATGTTGTCTTCAGTGAATCTTAACTATATATTTTTCCATGATGATGGTAGTAAAACATTTCATATGATATTCTATAAATTTCAACAAATTTGCATGAAACAAAACTTGAAATAATAATAAAATGTGAAATCAGATCTATTTCTGATTGACAGCTCAGCACTTTAGTTTGCCTCTCAAAGCAAAAGAAATGAGAGTCAAAATAAATGTTGTCTGYTAATAGTTCTCCTTTGCCTTTGACACTCTTCACCTCAGCTCTATGCAATCAACAATTTCTGTCTCTATCGATTTACTCATTCTTGGCATGTTAAATAAAAGTCATCAAAATTATTTTTAGTCTGATTTCTTTCTCTTATTTGAAAACTAGATGTTTTTGTGTTATGTTATGAGACAATGAATTTTACTTATTCATGTTTCAATTGGTTTTCTCTGTCATGGAAGGAGAAAGTGCCTCTTTACTGCAAGGTGGAAGTAGAAGTCCAGATTTTCCACTTGGTCTCCATGGATACCACAAATCTTCATCACCATGCAGTTGGCAGTTAGATGGAAGTAAATGATGCCAGCACCTCACATGGTCATCATGGTCAACTGAAGTGGGATGGACTCTTCATGACTGGGCACTGCCATTATCCGACCATAGTCCATCAGACATGGAGAAGGGGCCCCCATTACTATCTCAAGATGGACTTCCAGGYTCTATATCTGGCTTCCTTTGACACTGTGTAATGGGAC